TTCCTCGTCCTCGTCATCAACAGCATCTTCGCACTTCTCCACTTGTCCATCTCACGAGCATCATAATCACCACCATCATCATCGGCGTCGGAATCACCATCATCAGCATCATCCTCACCATCATCATCAGCAGCATCATCATTATCGTCGTCGTCATCCTCATCTTCATCAGAATCATAATCATCACTAACACCAACACTATCACCATCATCACCATCACAAACATCATTATCATGATCATCATCATCATAATCCCCATACGTAATCATCATCACCATACCAGCATCAGCATCTGAACAATCATCAGCATCATCATCACCATCAGCATCATTTCATCATCAACAACATCATCAGCATCAGCATCAGGCTCATCAACAACATCATCAGCAACAGCAGTTGCATCATTATTATCATCAACGTCATGGTCATCGTCATGATTAAGAGCATGGTCATCATCATGCTCATCAGCATCAACAACATCATCACCACCACCACCACCATCAACATTACCATCACCACCACGACCATCAGCATCATCATCAGCATCGTCATCATCATCAGCAGCAGCATCGTCAGCATCATTAGCATCATCAACACCCCCACCACCAGCATCATCATCATCATCACCATCATCATCAGCATCATTATCGACGTCATCTGATATCACGGGAGCGTGTGAAGTCAGCTTTGGAAGGGACTTGCCTAGCAGAGAGTAGCATGCAGCAGAGGGGGGCATCATCACCATCATCATCAGCAGCATCATCAGCATCATCATCATGATCATCATGATCATCATCAGCAACATCATACTTATCATCAGCAGCAGCAGCAGCAGCAGCATCATCATCATCATCATCATCATCATCATCATCATCATCATCATCATCATCATCATCATCATGATTGTCATCATGGATGGCATCATCATCATCCTCATCATCATCATCAGTATCAGCATCATCAACATCGTCATCATCATCGTCGTCAGCAGCAGGAGCATCATCATCATCAGCAGCAGCAGCATCATCATTACCATCACCATCACCATCACCGTCACCATCACCATCATCACCATCACCATCATCATCATCAGCAACAACAACATCAACGGCGCCCCGAGGGCTCCGTGCCCCAGACCCGATGCCCAGCCCGGGGGCCAGGGCCTGATGTCCTGGGCCCGGGGCCGGGCCCCCGGGCCTGGGGGCCCAGGCTCGAGGCCCGGGGGCCCGGTCCGGGGCCCAGGCACGACTTTTCCTCCATAGTGGGAGGAAGCAGAGAGGGGGAGGAGGAGCAGGAGAGGGAGAAGGATCGGGCCAACCAGGGGACGCGCCTCGTGCTCCTCCCGCTCCTTGTGCTCCTCTGGTCGTCCTCCTGCTGATCCTGCTCCTCCTGCTCCTGCTCCTGCTCCTGCTCCTGCTCCTGCTCCTGCTCCTGCTCCTGCTCCTGCTCCTCCATTCTTGTTCCTTATAAATAACTCCTCCATGTCGTACTCCGAGGCCAATCGAAAGGGCGGGCCAGGCGTTTCGCCTAGGACTTCCTAAACAGTTATGACCCTAAGGCTTGAAATTCGCAACAGTTTCACGGATGGAGGGCGGGTCGTTTTCAAAATGTGGACTTCGCCCTAACGCCGCGTACATTCGTTTTAAGAGTTTGCAGCAGTTTCAAGGATTCTCAGTGTGAACGTCCCAGCAATCATGTGTCCAGGGCGCAACAATTACGTTGGTTCATGGTGTTGAAGTCCCATGAAAGGTGTTCTGGCACGATCGAGGATCGCCCAGACGCTAAAGCAACGATGACTCGCTGGTATGGTTCAAGATTTCCAAACAATTGTTTTCCAACGGGCACTTCCTACAGTGAAAATGAATTCTTGCAGGGACCTATGAATCGGGAACTTGGAGGGAGGGCTTACTGCAATATCGTTGGTGCTTGGGTTTACAAAGGTCTTCCTCCTCCTCCTCCTCCTCCTCCTCCTCCTCTTCCTCCTCCTCCTCTTCCTCGTGGGCGCTCCCGATCGGCGGGAAGGGCTCCTCCGCAGCTGCGCTCTCGTCTGGCCCGCCAGGACCCGCAGGCAGTACGGCAGCACGCACAGTGCAAAGGCGAAGGCGGACAGGAACCACGGAGCCGCGTTTTTGTCAGCCGCCAGGGTCGAGGAGGGAGCAAATCCAGACCCCCTCGATTCGTGAGAACAGAACGACGGGAAATGTTCGGCAGTGTCTGCATCCAGAGACCCTTAACGGGCCCCAGGACCGCCAAAAAACGACTCGGCATGGAAGAACAATTCGGGGGAACGTGTCGAGACCTTTGCGGGGGTCCACGTCTGCCGCCGGGATCGAAAAAGATCATCCAGACTAGTTGTTCATCCGGATCGATTCCCGGCGGTCCTTGGGCCCGAAAACGGCCCCCAGACGCCGAACAGCAGCGCTGGGTTTCGCGCTTCGCGCTTCGCGCTGCGCGAAGTGCGATGCGCGCACAACTTCGCGCTCTCGCGCCGCCAACCCAGGGTAGGAGAGGGGGACGAGGAGGATAACCCAAAAGAATCGCGAGTCGCGATCCGCGAATAACTTCGCGTCCCCATGGCGACCCCTGCTTCCCTCCCTCTCCTCGTTCTCCTTCGTCCTCTCTCTCAGCGTCACCCTCCCTCGTCCTTCCCGCTCCTCCGGATCAGTCTTCCACTCCGGATCAAGTCCCAGCGGCCCCAGGGCCCGAGAACGGCCCCTAGACGCCGAAAACCACTGCTGGGTGACATCAGCTCCCCAGCCGATTCCAAGGCTCCCGATACATGAAATCCGCGCGGAGCTCCGAAAGTTAACGCTTATGCAGTTCTTTATATTGATCAGAAGCCTCGGACTCAAATCTCGTCTCCCTCTCTCTCCCCCCACTCCTCTTCCTCATTCAGACTCAGTCATGCTCAGACTCACTCATACTCAGATTCATTCACAGTTAGACTCACTCACGTCCCCCTCATCCACACTCAGACTCACTCGTATTCAGACTCACTCATACTCAAGCACACTCACACCCAGACTCACTTACATCCTCCTCGCCCTCAATGAGACTCACTCATACTCAGCCTCACTCGCACTCTGACTCAACTCATGCTCAGCCTTATTCAAACATAGACTTAACTCGCACTCAGATAAGATCACTCTCATACTCACGCTCAGATTCACTCACAGTCAGAGTCACTCACACTCACGCTCACTCACAATCAGCTTCGCTCGCACTTGACTTGCGACGCACTCGCACTCAGGTTCGCAGATTGCAAGAATGTCTTGAGCGAGGCGCTGGCTTCAGCACCCTAAGGGGAAGCCGCCAGTGGCTGTTGCACGGCCCCGTTCCCGCCCAGATTGTGCGGATGCATCAGGCGGTTTTTGCCGTCTCGGTTGCCCAAGCTCCTCTGCTTCCAGAGCAGATTGCGGGGATGTCTCGAGCGAGGCCCTGGCTCCAGCACCCCAAGGGCTGTTGCACGGCCCCTTTCGCGCCCAGATTGTGGTTTGTCTCCGGCAGTTTGCCTGCTTGGTTGCCCAGGCTCCTCTGCGTCCAGAGCAGATTGCGAGGTGTCTCGAGCGAGGCGCTGGCTTCAGCAACCCAAGGGGGAGCACATAGGGGTGGTTTCACTCCCCCGTTCGCGTCCAGCTTGAAGAGATAGTTCAGACACATTGCCTCACTCGTGAATGCCTATGAATCATCGTTGTTGTCTTCGTTGGCCCACACCGTAGCCGTCGCCTAGTCGTACCCCTCAATCGCTCGGACTCGTTTTTTTTTTTTCTCTCTCTCTCTCTCTCTCTCTCTCTCTCTCTCTCTCTCTTACACACACACAGACACTCATGGACGGAGACCCGCAGCCAGGTAAGGGGATCTCCGCGTCAGGTCATCATGACTCTAGCTCTGGGCATGCATAGCAAGTTGTCCTTCTCCTCCTATTCGTACTCTTCCTCCTAGCCCTCCTCTTCCTCCTCGTCCTCCTCCGTGTCCTCCTTCTCGTCCCCATCCTTGTCCTCATCCTCCTCCCCGTTGGCCTCCTCGTCCTGGGTCCGACAAGGCGGATCCCAAACTTGTTCCACTGCATGCTTCTACACTGCCCTGATGAAGGCGACTCGCCTCGGCATCCTTTCTGGCTGGGCTTGTAGGGATGTCTCCTCCTCCTCCTCCTCCTCCTCCTCCTCCTCCGCCTCCTCCTCCTCCTCCTCATCATCAGCATCATCAGCACCATTATCATCATCATGATCATCATCAGCATCCTCATCATCAGCATCATCATCAGCATCATCATCATCAGCAGCAGCAGAAGCAGCATCATCATCATCATCATCATCATCATCATCATCATCATCATCATCATCATCATCATCATCATCATCATCATCATCATCATCATCATCATCATCATCATCATCATCATCATCATCATCATCATCATCATCATCATCATCATCATCATCATCATCATCATCATCATCATCATCATCATCATCATCATCATCAGCATCATCATCATCATCATCAGCATCATCATCATCTCATCATCATCATCATCATCATCATCATCATCATCATCATCATCATCATCATCGTCATCGTCATCGTCCATCATCATCATCATCATCATCATCATCATCATCATCATCATCATCATCATCATCATCATCATCATCATCATCATCATCATCATCATCATCCCTGTCCTCCTCCTCCTCCTCCTCCTCCTCCTCCTCCTCCTCCTCCTCCTCCTCCTCCTCCTCCTCCTCCTCCCTCCGCACACTTCCGTAGCCATTTTGGCTCAAGCGTTCGCATGGCCCCGCCGCCCGCCGCTCCATCCTCGCGTCGGAGCCGCCGTGGGATGGCGCGGCCTAGAGGGGCTCGCGCGCTGCCCGCCGCCGCCGCCGCGCTGGTGGAGGCGGCCGTGCGCGGCGCTGTCCTGGGGGGCGCCCCACGCCGCACTGTCGCGGCGGTGGCAAGGTCGGCCGTCTCGGCCGCGCTGTTCGCTCAGCGCGCCGAGGATGCCGTGCCGCCGCCTCGCGACGCTGCCGCTGGTGGCGATCGTCCCCCTGCTCATCCTGAAGTTCCTCGCCCTGGCCCTGCTGGTGCCGCGGTCGCCGAGCCCGCGGCGCGTGCCGCGCGGCGGAGGCGGCGCCGCCAGCGCCGCGCGGCGAGGAAGGCGGCGGCGGGCGCTCCTGCTGCCGTCGTGGTGGAGACGACGGAGGTCGACGTGGCGGCCGCGGGTGCGGCGGCTGGCTCTGCTGGCACGGGCCTCGCACTCGTCCAGGTGGCGGGGGCTGCTGGCGACGCGGACGCCGACGACGACTCCATGGCCGACGACGCCTGGGCCGACGGCCTGCGGCGCTCGGCACCCGGCGCTGTCCCCTCGGGCGGCGCCGACGCGCGGGCTGGTGCTCCGGCGGCGCCTGCTGCGCCCTGCGAGCCTGTGTCTGCTGCTGCTGGTGCGGCGGCGGCTGCGGGCGGCGAGGCGTGGCGGCTCGCACCGTGGGAGGAGAGGCACGCGGGGGAGGAGGACGTTCGGGTGGTCGCGCGGCGGATCCTCGCGCAGCGCGGCACCGCTCCTCCTGATGCTCGAGGAGTCGCTGGTGCGGTTCCTCGTGTTCCTGGTGCTCGAGGAGTCGCTCGTGCGGTTCCTCGTGCTCGCGAGCGTGGAGCTTTTCCTCTCCCGCTCGTCGGCGTGGTACGCGTACTACGTCTGCCTTGACTGCATCGTCGGCACGGTCGGGGGGTCCAGGTCTGGTCAGGTCCAGGCCTGACCCCCCGCTGACCTCTGGTGTTGTCAGGGAGCGGCGCATGTTAAAAAAAATCCTCCCTCCGCACTCGTCTCTGGTTAGGGCCTGTTGAGGCCAGCTGGGACTACTCGGGGGCCTCTTGAGGCCAGCCAGGACTACCTGGGTGGGGGGCTGTCTCTGCGCAGCCCGAAGCCTCACCACTCCTCTTTGCCGAGGACCCAGACGTGTGGGTAGGGCGAGCTGGGCGTTTCGCCGGAAACTTCCTCACAACTGTTGATCCTGAAACTATGCATTTGTGCCAGGCAATCGGATGGAGGGGGGGCCGTTTTCAGCACGGAACTCTCACCTCAGCGCCGCGCATATTCGTCGCAAGTCTGCCGCAGCTATAGGAATGAAGGGGGTGGTCTTCACATAACACAAGAAATCGGCAACGAGAGAGGGACCCTCCCAGACGGGCAACTCTAGAACCCTCCCAGACCAGCTTTGAAAGGGCGGCCTTTTTGCCCAGACCCCTGGAACCATCCAAGACAGCTCAAATCAGACCCCACCCCCACCCAAACAGAACCCCCCCTTTGATCATGACATCTGAGGCAGCCTGCAAAGCGCTGACGAGAGGGGCGCGTTCCAGAGGAGGGCCTCCACGAGGGGGGGTCGCAAGTCATGGGCCGAGGCATATGCGCGGACGAGGGGGGGATCAGGGGACGTATTGAACGAAGAGGGGGCCATGAACAACAAGGAGTTGTCATGACCCCAGCCATGATACCCACCACACACACACACACACACACACACACACACACACACACACACACACACGCACACACACACACACACACACACACACACACACACACACACACACACACACGCACCCCTCGTCATTCCCCCTTCGACGCCTGGTGTTCTTCTGATCATAATTCGTAATTCGGGCCTCCAGCGGCCGTTGGGGACGATTTTGGCACTCCCAGACAAGAAGCTTTCGACGAGGCGAGCTGCTGGAAAGCACCCCGAGGCGAAAAATCTAACCCCATGATCCCAGCCCGAAGATCGAGTCTCATAGTTCCTGGGCGCCGCTCGCCAGAGGACCCACCTCCTTGAAATGCCCTTGAGAAGGTAACCGACTCTTGACTCTTGACCCATTGGCAGAATAAGCACAGGCGACCCTAAGATGACCCAGCCCCCCTCCTTCGATGACCATGAAATCCATGAAATCCAGAGCATCCCGCAGCGCGCGTCTTCCCTCCCCCAGCGACAACACCATGCAAGGCTGATGCTCCTGCGGTTGACTCTCGAAGCGTGCCGCCGAGGATGTGTGAAGCAAGAGGGGGAAGCATGGGAAGGCTTCGGGCTGCGCACTGACAACCTCGCCCCCAGCCAGTCAGCCCCCGCTGATCTCAGCAGCCCCCCCACAAGGTAGTCCCAGCTAGCCTCAACAGGCCCCCCGATTAGTCTGGGGCGGCCTCAACTCCCTGGGCGCCGTCTCAAGCGGCGCCCCTGGGGCGATCCGCGCCCAAGGCCTGCGGTGTTAAGGCCGGCCAAGACTACTCGAGGAGCCGTTCGAGGCCAGCCGGGATTGCCCGGGTGGGTGGGGGGGGGGGCGGCCTGTGCGCAACCCGCAACCTCACCAAAGCACAGCAGAGGAGGGCGCGAACGGGGGCAAGAGACCCGGACGCTGCCCGCGGGAGCCCCATGGCCCACTCGGCCGCGTAGAACTCCAAGCAGCGTCCAAGAAACCCCGCAGCAGCCGCGGAGGAAGAAGGGGACACGCCAGAAACAACTACCCTAAGATCCCGGCGTCGCACTTTCCACCGCCGGATTTGCCATGCTTCGGGCCCCAAGACCTTCACGGATCGATCCGGCTCGAAAAGTGCCGCGGAAAGAAGGGGTCCAAGGCTTTGGTGTGACGTCGGATCTCAGGGTGCACGCAGGCAGCACGACGGGATGTGGCCAACAACATTTGTGACATCGGAAGCTGCACATCTCAACGTCTGCGGGTCGGCGAAATGGAGCGAGCCTCTTGAGCGAACCACGCAGAGCGGCAGCCAGGAGGCGAAGTGGGCATTCCCAGGGAGCGATGGCGAGGGGGGGAAGGGGTCGGGCGCTGCTGCGCATGGGGCTGCTTCAGCCCTCGGGCCAAAGCCAGAAGCCCCAGGTAGTCCAGGCCTCGGCTCGCCGCGGCCGAACTCCTCTCGTGCATCCCGAGCTGAAGCCCAGCCGTCCGCCGAACTCTCCGGGCGTTGCTGCGCATGGGGCTGCTTCAGCCCTCGGGCCGAAGCCAGAAGCCCCAGCTAGGTCCGGGCCTCGGCTCGCCGATGGAGGCGGCCGAACTCCTCTCAGGCAGGAGGAGGAGGAGGAGGAGGAGGAGGATGGAGACAGGAGGCAGGAGTGAGGAGGACGAGGATGGAGACAGGAGGCAGGAGTGAAGGCGGCGAGCGGAAGCCCAGCCGTCCGCCGAACTCTCGGAGAGGCACTACTCTCGGCCCTGGGGCAGACGAGCATCCCTCGGGAGCACGAGGCCCCCCGCAGGCCAAGACACACGGAGCGCCCAGGGCACGAGAACACCCAACGAGCACGGAGAGCACCAGGGTGCCCTCCCCGAGCCGACCTCGCTCTGATGCTTCGGTCCGACTGTACAAGCGCACACCGAACAACAAGGCACGACATACGGAGGAGGAGGAGGAGGAGGAGAAGAAGGAGAAGGAGGAGGAGGAGGAGGAGGAGGAGGAGGAGCAGCCGTCTCTGAGGTCCGCGCGGCTCTCTTGGATCGGTGCTCGGCTCCCCCCGCCTGGCGCCCCAGGTGGCGGCGCTGGAGAGGCGCCGCCCGCCGGCGGGGCCCGGGCGCCGAGCCTGGAACTCGGCGCGGGTCTGCGGGAGCTGATGCTTATTCGGCGGCGAGCGAGGGGGGGAAAGTGAGAAAGGGAGGGCCTTCCCAGAAGGCGGCGGGGCTCCTCGGAAGCGCCCGCGCCCTCTGAGAAGTGTTCGGTGTCCTCGGGGAAGGGCTAGAGACTTTTCAGAAGGCTGGGGGGCTTCCGAGCCTTCTGAGAAGGCCTCCTCCTTCTCACTTCCCCCCCCTCGCTAGCCGAGGATGTAGTGAGATTTAGGGGAACGAACCATGACATAAACATAACAACTCGGAGGTCCGCGCGGATTTCTCGGATCGGCGCTGGACCCCCCTGGTGGCGCCTCCACGCGCCAGGGAGGGGAGTCCAGCGCCGACCCGAGGAAGCCGCGCGGACCTCCGAGTTCTCATGCTATGTCATTGGTTCGTTCCCCTACATAGTCTTGGCTTCCTCTAGGTCTCCAGGGCGACGAGATCAACGCGTGCCCACCGCCCCGTGACAAGGCCCGCCCCGGGCCCAGGAGCGGTGCCTACGCCCTCCCGGCGTGGCCCGGAAGGCTCGCACGCAGCCTCTGGACCCAGGACGGAGCCTGTCAGGGGCAGTGCGCAGCGACCGGCAGTCGCGCAGAGCCCCAGGAGAGCGAGGCATTGACAGTGCAGCTCAACATTGACACGGTGGTGGCTGGGGAGCCCCCGCGACCGACTGGCGCCATTCATCGCCGATTGGGGCCTGATAGCCCAGCCAGCCCAGGAATGTCTGGTATGTTTCGTTATCGGGTGCCTATCGCCGATCCATCGTCGATACATCGCCGATTCCTGGGCCCAGCGTGGATCCACAGGCGTGCTAGAGTCTCCAGTAACAAACGACCTGTTTTTCTAGTTCGCGCGCGCGTCCAGGCTCCTGGGGGGTCCGCGGACGAAGAGTGCCCTGGCCAGGTCGTAGCCAAGTCCCGGTAGGTCAGGGTCCACGGATGCCGGAACTCCCGGGGGCTTTTCTTTGTTCTGGGCCCCCTAAGATCGCCTGTGGAGCGCCCCAGAGCACCAAGGGAGCCCCCAAGAGGGCCCCGATGGGGGTTAAAAAAAAGTGAACTTCGGTGGGTGTTTGAAGGATTTTCGCGTTGTCGCGTTTCGTATTTCTGGCCGCCCCCCAAGACGGCCCACCCCAATGTCGCCCCAAGACAACCCAAGAGGCTCCCAGGAGGGCCCCAAGATGTCTCAAGAAAGCCCGGAAGATGGCCCCCGAGACCTCCAGCAAGCCCCCAAGGAGCTCCCAAGAGGCCCCCAGAGGCCCCAAGAGGCCCCCAAGACACCCCCGAGAGGCTCCGAGAGGCCCCCCAAGAGGCCAAAAACATGCTGCCAAAATGCCCCCGAGAGGCCTCCCACGAGAGACCCCAACAAGCCTACCAGAAAGGCCCCTTGTCCACGACCC